ATGCGGGCCAAATAAAACTTATTCCAGGCACATGGAATTCGTCTTCGGAGCCTTTCGTTTACCTGGTGTGTTGCTCTATAAAAGGGGCAATCAAAGTGGTTGTCAGAAAGTTACGCTGACAGGTGCGAAGGAGTCCGGCTGACCAAGGCTAGATCGGAAGTCCTCTGCAGCCAATTTCTGCTGAGGACTTGGATGTGCGTCTGTCGCCCGGCAATCGAAACGGCTTGTGGGCTCTGTGTTCTGTGGTCAAGTCGAAAATCCATATTACTCAGGAAATATATGAAGTAACGGAAACGGGCGACGGAATCGAAAGAAGTTGGGTTCAATACGAAGGATTTTGATGGCGCAACTGCTTCAATGCCCTTATAATATGTCGCCCCTAAATAGTAAAGACGAGTACTGTATCGGGGTGATACCGGTCCATAATATGTGATTCCACCGTAGACAGCGACTTTCTACAAGAATACAACAATTTGCACTACTGTTCCATACTACTACTTTAGGATGGCTACGATTATATGTTAGGGAAATTTGGCCAGCCCAATGTCAGTGATCGATTCCGATGCCAGTTATGGAGATGGTCAAAAGATGGAAAAGTGGAAGATTGAAATCTCGATTATTTGTACAAGTTTTCGGTTATTTCGAGATCGCCGAGGGCCGTTTTATCCTCCACGCCATTGTATCGGCAAAATGAATGACCGAAAACAATCATTTGTCAATACGACTTTTCGATACCCATTTGCAGATAATAGAGCACCGATAAAAAATGAGAGACTAGAATGGTCATTTCTGACTTGTTAACCGTCAGCAGCCAGTCATACCCAATCCCAACTATGAACCAGCTGGGATTCGAACCCGGGATCTTTGGTCATCGAGTCGAACGCTTTACTAATGAACCACAGACACATTGTCCTGTCGGCTGTGATCGGAAAATATTACTTATGATGAAGTACCGTCCGCCAACCATTATCTGCATATTTTATTAGTCGCTATAGGACTGCCTGCGAGCACGACTTTATGGAAATTAGCATCCCAACCGTCGATGACTTTAGAAAAGCAGTAAGTTTGCGTCTGCAAGTCAGCTATAAATTACAGACGCCATCTAACGGCCTGCCACCTCTAAGGCAGGCTTTCTATCAATAATAGAAATGAAAAATCAGATGCTTTTCATGAATGCACTACATTGGTCCAGAGTAACAATGGATTTAAACATTCAAAGGAAACCCCCTGCCGACCAGGAAAAGAGGACTACACGACAGGCAGATTACTTTTCTGGGTCATTCAGTGTAACGGACTGAAACGGCAACGCACACACCCCTGTGAGAATCCGACCGCACCTAAGTCACCAGGTCACTCTAGTCTTCGCACATTTTGGCGCGACCTCACCAAGACTCCACTAACTGTTTCCTTCACTGCAAACTCCTGACGGTCAAATGCCCTCCACGGGTGAGTGACTAATGCACAACCTGAGGTAACCGTAAGATCTCTCGTGTACAACCCTTACTTCGAACAACTGACGGCCAACTGCGTAAGAGTACTTTAATTGTAGATTCTGCTACCACCTACGAGACGCAGACCTGGCGGATTTCATCACCGAACGCAGCAAAAGACTCAGCGAAATCTATCTGAGACCAGGCAATCTCTTTCTCGTTATTTCTCCCAGATGTCGCAAAATTACCCTCGCGGGTGATATGAAAGTCTTCAGAAAGCTGACGGATGGCGATCAGAATATATTTTAAGCCTCGTATGCCTAAAATAGCCCACCCGACATTGTGAAGGAAGCCTCAAATAAAATCATAAAGTGTTGGTATCTAGAGCAAACGGTGAGTGACATCCTCACCGAAGTATATATCCCGACGTATATCGTGAGGACCGGCCAGGAACCAAGATAACCTACCGGCTTGACTGAAAACTGTTCGACGCACGGCGCATGCAAGCACGCTCAATCGTACCCCCAAACAGGCATCCACGACCTACTGTTCTCGGATAACTGTGCACTTAATACGACGGGGGCGGTTATAGACCTCGTTGCCTCTGGCTGCACCAAATGTTGACTGATGGAGAGAAGGTAGACACAATCGCTGGGAGAATAACTTTATTTGCCTGGCGTTTACGACTCATTTTCGAACCCATCATGAGAGACAGCGCTGGACCCTTACCTGGTAGTATTCCCGATGATGGGTTCAAGAGTGAATCCAAAACGTCAGGAAAGTAAAATTATTTTCCCAACGATTGTGTCTACTTCTTCTTACTGTGGCCATGTATAAACTGGCAGTAGACACGAATTACAGAGAACCCCACATGACTATCAGTGGAGCTCAACTCACCACTGTGGAGAATTTTGCAGCATAATCTTACGCAATGTTGGGATCGATGACGAAGTGGCCCATCAGATCTCAAAGGCAAGCCAGGCGTTTGGGTGGCTATAGACCAGTCTGAAATGGCTGGCTTCTTCACCTTAACACCCAAATGTAAGATGTACAGAGCGGTGGTCCTGACGATACTACGGAGTCGGGACATGGGCTGTCTACGCTAAAAAAAGCTAGGAAGCTGACCCAATTCCACCTCAGTTGCCCCGTAGAATGCCAAAACTTAAGCCCTCGGATGGACCAGAATCCTCGGCATCAACTTCATGATGAGATAACTGCAACTGTGTTTAAGCGGCTACCTCGGGAGGATAGATGAGGAGCGCCTACCCAATCGACTCCAGAGACGCTCGCTGAACTACAAGGGCATCTCACAGACCAAACGTAGGGATTTGCAGATAAATCCGGTCACCTGGGATGATCACGCCCAGGATTGACGGGCCTAAAAAGAACAGTGAAGGCTGAAGAATACGAAGCTAATCGGATTGTCATTGCCACAGCAAAAGGGGCGGCTCGCAAATCCCAAGCGCCTCCAACCAACAACACAAACTTCCACTCTTATCGTGTCCCTATTTTCAACGGAAATTAAGCGCGTAGATAGGACACGGCGAACATCTTTAGACCCAATTCGAAGATGACACTACAACTCCACCGCCTGCTTCCGCAACCTCACCTCTCGGCCACAAACTCCTGACGCCCACGAAAACCACCTCCACTAGCGATGAGAACGTTCCCAGTGCCCAACTGTCATCGCCCACCATCAATCCTATCGCCGATGAGAGCACTCCTAATGTCCCAACAGTAATCACCGCCCCCAACACCCGAAATGTAGACTCGGCCCGCACCTGCGGTAAAACACCGCGAGTCAAAG